TTATATGCTTCCCTGATGAGGTTCACTTTTGTGGTCTCATTTGATTCTAGGGCTGAGCTCATGATAACGCTTTAAATTTCCTCGGAAGCGCAATCACGTTCATCTACCGCTGTCTGTTTATCTGAGGGCAATTTTTCATTTATATTCAGTAGCTCAACCTCCTCTAGAATCAGCAGAAACTTTATAGAACAACATTCTTCGCACAATCAGAGTGATAATGACTTGCAGCAGATGTAAGTCCGGTGCACACATTGTGATACCACTTATTGCAGTTATCACATTGCATCCTATTGTGGTGGTCGGTTTTCAATATAATCCTTAAACTTCGTATAAAATTTGTCTTCATGACCGTCACTAGATAACGCTCCCAATATTAATCAGAAGGTGGATACGAAGTACTGACTACATTCATTATGGGACCACACACAGACATCCAAAATTACAGCTACGTTAAACAAGCATAAAGAAGTTGTACCGAAAGGCAAGCAGGCAAGCGAGCGAGCGAGTCAACGAATATGAGTACAATAAAGCGAGAGAGAGCAATGAACATGAATAGCATGGATATATATATATATATATATATATATATATATATATATATATATATATATATATATAGTAAAATGAATGAATCACCGAGTCAATTAAGCGGTTAGTGGTAAAGCTAGCAGAATGAATAAATGCGAAGGCAGTAAGCAGTGCTCAAGCATACATGTTCATACAGGTGAAACAATAATAAAGATACGATTGTGTAGATAAGTTACTGTACGAATGACTCAGTTCGTTGATAATTTAACAAAATGACTATCGAATCAAATACGAACAAACTCAATTGCACGTGAGTTGCTATGCTATCATCGACAAGTAATTAGCAAGCAGGTCTGCCACAACAATGTTTCAATTGCGCCATAAATTTGTTTTGTGTTTATATATAAATTAATGCTTCAGTTTCAGTTTGGAAGGGACAGGAGGCTTAATGGCCTGAGTTATTATTGACAATGGTGGTCTCTCAGTTGATCCAAATTTCTTCTGAAAAAATCAACGGATGGAGCCTCAACCACGTGCTGAGGTAATGAACTCCGCTCCGTGATGATTCGATGGGAAGGTCGATGGTCAACTGACAAGTAATTTGTGCTGGGCTGGCGAACTTTTCTGGAGTATCTTCGTAAATTCTTTGATCAGGAGTATAAGAAAAATGAGGGCATATTAGATGCAAATTTATCACTAAGCAATTCGAAAACTGTAGTCAAGTTGCCTCTAGTTCTTCGATATGACTTGGCAACAGTAAGCAAATCCGACTTCAGTAGTTACAAAAAGACATAAACACTTATGGAAACAGACAATACTCAAAAATATACTCAACGATGAGGAATAAATACCAGTGCCTTTCGTTTTTTGTATCTGTACTCATAAAGTACAGAAAATAAACTTCTCTAGAGAAAAAACGGTACCCTTGGGGATCACTTTGACTGAAATAAATTTAATTAGGGCAAAAACAGTAGTCTTGATGCGTATTTTAACGATCAATGCTATAAAATATACTCAGAGGAAAAATACCACTGTTCTTTTTGGGTAGCACCTTAAACATGGAAAAGTCAACAGGATCAGATGAAATACACCCCAAAACCTTAAGACATATTGCACAATATATTGCGACCCCACTGACTGTGATGTTCAATATGTCACTTGAACAAGGTGTGTTACCTATGGACTGGAAGTACACAATCGTCACTCCTATACATAAAACAGGACCAAGACAAGTTCCATCGAACTACAGACCTGTAAGCTTCACTAGTGTTGTAGCTAAAGCATTGGAAAGAATAGTCAGATGGACCATAATGGCATTTATGGAAACCAATAACTTGCTAAACATAGAGCAACATGGTTGTAGAAAGGGCCCATCCTGTACAACGAACCTCCTTATAGCAAGGGAGTTTTGGATAAAGGCGCTAGATGACGGAAACTCAGTGTATGTTGTCTAGATAGACCTAAGTAAGGCTTTTGACAACTAATAGACTGCTATTGAAGTTGGCAAACCTTGGTATTGCCGGACCTCTTTTAAAATGGATTAAGGATTTCCTAGTACGTCGTAGGCAAAAAGTAAGAATAAATTTCAAGTGTTCCATCTGGAGACCAGTACTTAGTGGAGTACCCCAAGGTTCCGTCCTAGGTCCTTTACTTTTTATAATGTACGTTAATGATCTTACAAGTATAGTACAGTCTCCAATGTTATTATACGCTGACGATGTAAAAATTTGGCGAGTAATAACTGGTGACACAGACGCATTTACTCTTCAGGCGGACTTAAATAATATGATAAACTGGTCTAAAGAGTGGCTAATGCCTATCAACTCGGAAAAGTGTGTCTACATGCACTTGGGGGATTCAAAGGTTAATACGTACAACATAGGGGATGTGTCATTACCCATAGTCCAGTCTCATAAGGATCTAGGGGTGACAGTGAGCAATGATCTTAAGACGACGGCCCGTTGTCGGGAGGTCGCAGTTAAGGGATTTCGAACCCTCTGGGCTTTAAAATGGACATTCACTAAGTTAGATTCTACCATGTTCGCCACAGCATATACATCCTTAGTAAGAACTAAGCTTGAGAACTGCGTTCAAGCTGCAAACTTCTGTTTAAAAGGTGACTCGGATATCCTAGGAAAAGTACAGAAGGAGGCTACCAGTGCAATTCCAGGATTCCGGGGTTTACCATAAAAAGAGCGCCTCGAAAAGCTGGACCTCTTTACTCTGTCCTATGGCAGACTGAGGGGAGATCTGATTTTGATGTACAGAATACTGAGAAATGATTTTGAACCTAACTTATTCTCTCTTTTTCTTCCCACTAGATCGGGACATCTCAGAGGATATACCAGGCGAGTACAAAAACCAGTCTTCAGCCTTCAGTAATAAAAATAGTGGGTTAGTGAACTTGTGTTAATCCTGATAGATTGCTTACCAGTGGAGGTCCGGTTTCTCCTTAAAAATATTCACTGATGGGGCTGATACCACTTGTTCAAGTAAGGCGTTCCAGTCACTGACTACTGTATGAGAAAAACGGCACCCCACTCTAAGTTTATTAGATCGTGGTTTATGAACCCTCTTGCTATGACCTCAGAGATTATTAGTGCTGGAGGGAGCAAAAAGATAAGACATATTAACACCCAAATCATAATTAAAGATACGAAATGCCAGTATAAGGTCACCTCGTGTCCTACGATACGACAAGGGGAAAAGATTTGGGCGTTTTAAACGCTCATCGTAAGGGAGTCTAGAAAGACCCTTCACTGATTTCGTTCCCACACTCTGGACACGCTCAAGGGAGTTAGTATCCTTTACCAGACACGGACTAGCTGCTTGGATACAGTACTCTAAATGTGGTCTAACATATATGGGATATAAAATCCGAAACGTTTCCTCGTCAAAAGATTTGAACGCTCGTCGAAGTGGCCAAAACGCACGAAAACCTTTGACAGTGGCTGCGTTGCAATGCGTAGTTGTTTTTAAATCATGACTTAATACTACTCCTAAGTCTTTATGCTCTTGAACGCATGGAAGAGGTTTACCATCAATAGTGTAACAGTAACTATTACCGTGACAGATGTGCATTAGCACACTCTTCCTATAATTGATTTCTAAGCCCCAACCCCGAGCCCATCTAACTAAATCGTATAAGTCAGCTTGGAGATCCAGATGACCAGCCTCACTTCTTATTGTTCTCCAGAATTTTACGTCATCTGCAAACAATAACGTCGACGACCTGAGCAACAGCGGTAACTCATTAACGTAGAGAACGAAAAACGGAAGGCCTAAGATAGTACCTTGTGGTACACCGCTTTTGACCGGCTTCCGGTCGGATAGCGTTCCATTGACCCTCACTCTCTGTCTGCGGTCACATAAGAAATTTCCTATCCACTCATGTACAATACCTGTTATTCCGAAGCTCGTGAGCTTCTGCATAAGACCTAAGTGTGAAACCTTGTCAAATGCTTTGCTAAAATCTATGAATATCACATCGAAAGACAGACCGTTATCTAGGGCTGCTATCCAATCCTCCCTCGCAATAAGTAAGTTAGTCAAACACGAACGCTTATTACGAAGCCCATGTTGCTCAGGAGCTAACGGATTGCGTGAATCTATGTGGCTTAGCAACCTAACCCGAATTGTATTTTCAAGTAACTTAACGACTATGCTGGTTAGACTGACAGGCCGGTAGTTAGATACTATCTGTCTCTGACCGTCCTTAAAAATAGGACTGACTATAGCGACCTTCTAATCTCTAGGGAGTTGAGCGAGTGAAAGGGACATGTTGAAGAGTGTCGTGAGCGGTTTTGAAATAATGTCCGCAAGAGATGACAGCAACCGTGGATGTAACTCGTCAGGGCCCGATATCTTACCAGGTTTGGAGTTGGTTATCAACGGAAGGACAGTTTCGTCAGTATTCTGTGCAAACAATGGTTTCGGACAAGTACGGCTATCATATACTAACTGTCGTTCGTAAGTGATACGGGATTTAGCTATGGTTTTCTTTCAAATATTCCGGAATTCTCGGTACTCACGCTAAAATGATGCATGACCTGTCAACAAAAATAAGTCTCAGAAGTGTTTTGAAATAATGTCCGCAAGGAATAACATAGGCCGTAGGCCTTCTGTCCTTACTACACACATCTGAATATGTATATGTTTAGGACTAAAGATAGTATCTTACTATGATTTGCCATATTTTCCGTCTTCCTCTTTCATCGATAATATACCTAGGTTCCTGCCTGAAGGTATTGGTGATCCACTGATTCTAGATTCGTAAGCCCGTTAAGCGAAAGCTTCTTCTGTTCCGTCCAAAACCATTTGAACCATTTGATTTATCTAAAACGAGGCTGGAACTTTACAGTGTTACAAACTACAAGGGTTAATATAGGTTGATCTACCTCCTGTCCTTATTACTGTGGACTGATCCTTATTCCTTCAAACTACTACTAAATTAACTCAAGGTTGTTAATTGCACAGCGATTTGAAGTTGAGTCAGGTGTGTTGATGCTTCTTGTGGTTTACGCGTACAGACTACTTTAATAGTTTCTTTTCCTGATTTATACACTTTCAAATATAAAAGTAAGAATGGGTCTTTTGGTAGGTTAGCTTTATGCCAAAATGTAACTGGAGAAGTCATGTACGAAATTTTCTCTATGCTAGTAAAGACGAAAAAATAACTTGTTCGGTTTCTGTAAAGTAGTACTGTAGTTCTTGCAAAAGTTGTTCGTTTGGATGCAACATAAGGGGGGATAACCACTCGTCTTCCCCATCTACCTGATCAGTATCACATATGCACCTTTTTTTCCTCGATCTCAACCATATTCGTTTTCTTAGTGGTTAAAATAATCGGACGTCTTGAAATTTCATGCAACTTTTTCTATACTTTTATAAGGTGCGGCAACCTGAACTTGAGTCGCACCATATGAGTTCGTATTCCAATGTTTCTTCCTGACTATGTATATCCTTTATGGTCATCTAGTGTCCATATTTGTGATTTTTTCAGACAACCAGGCTATGTAACCAGACATTCATCATTCTGAGGAATCGCAATGTTTTCTGAAAGAAATTGAATAGTCTAGTAAATCTCGTACTTGTAGTTCAGGGATAAAGTTGAAATCAAGTAATTTCACTAATGATGCATATGTCGGATCAGGTGGATGATGTAATACTTCCTGGGTATTAACACTAAAGGGTAGCGGGTGACTAGCACTTTACACATAGATAGTGATTGGTTTTAGATTATATCACTAATCGGTCTTATCTCAGCCTCTTGTTTACTTGCAGCATTACTATGACACTTTCATATTTGTAAGTTGTAAATCCAAAATATCTTTAGAAAAGAAGCACATTAAAACAGACCAAAAAGGGTTGAGTTACTGTTTTACGTATTCAAAGTAAGGAACCTGTCTTAGTTTATCTAGTCAGCAGCAGAAAAATAAACAAGTGGTCTGTTCACAGTAAAGCCTACGAAATGCTTCCAACAATACTGACAGATTTTCTAGTTATGTGATACACATATCTACCCTTAGGTTTTGAACAAAATGCGGGGACCTATGCAACAATATGGTGAACGGTTCTAGTGGAGACACATTATCAGTGTTCGAAGTTAAGAGTAAGTCAAACATCAGAATCATTTTTAAGAAATGCAATTCAAAATACTTTTCATATTCACAAGATTTTGTTTCCTGTTTGTTGATATAGTTACAGTATCTGATGTGTTAGGAAGAATTCTTGAAGCATACACACATATATTTATGTAATGTCGACTGTCTACGTAGATCGTGGGATGGCCTGGTGTACAGTGGTTGGTAAGTTTTTGATACATTTTTGAGTGATTTATGAGTGATCTTTCTACATATAAGCCATAGAATTTGTGTAAAACGTATTCTACAAATGAATTATAAGTTTTGTTGGGATTTGACATTCAATGATTAAAATACTCGAATTTTAATTGTCGAGTTGCGACATCGAACCGTAATTCACCTACTTCGAGTAGGACAACTGGGTAATATAACCAGGATTCATGTGTTTCAAGTACATGTACATAAATCCATAGTATATATATATATATATCAGTCAGTCAGTCAGCTACAACGTAGGACCAGGCACATATGTGCATCGGTCCAGGTTGCCATACCTCATTAGCACAGCAAGATGAACAGCGGATTCATAGGAGTGGTTAGGTCAAAGGTTGCAATAAGGATATAGTATAGGAAGGAAGAATTAGTTCGTAGACAGAAAGAATGAAGTGATTTTAATCTCATAGTTTAAGGGAAGACAGGGAGTGTATACACCGACGCCATTGTGATCGATTCTGAGCCATGTCACCAAGAGTCTCCAACCATTGGTTACGAAAGTCACGCGGACCCCAACCAAGTAGTCTGCATCTACCAACATGGCTCAGACTAGAAGTTAGTGACTTCAGGCACTGATGCCACGTTTTGGTTTGGCCGCCCCTAACTTTCTTCCAACCATCCCCTACCCCGGTTAGCATTGCACGTCGTGGTAATCGGTGTTCAGGCATACGTAATACGTGGCCCAACCATCTCAGTCGATGAAGATTCATAACCTCTTCAACTGATTTACCATCATTGCCTAATACCCTGCGTCTAACCTCACTATTACTTACCCGGTGATCCCAGCAGATGCCAGCAATATTTCTAAGGCATCTGTGGTCAAATACTAGTAACTTACGGGTGTCTTCTACTCTTAAGGGCCATGTTTCGCTGCCGTAAAGTAAAACAGAACGAACTGCCGCGCAGTATACTCGCCCTTTTATTGATAGACGGATATCTCGCCTTCGCCAAAGATGACGTAAGTTGGCAAAAGCCAAACGAGCTTTTCGAATCCGTGCTGAGATTTCGTCAGACACCAACCCATTAGGGCTAATCAGACTTCCAAGATAAGTGAAGTTGTCAACGCGTTCAACTACTTCACTCCCTATCCTTAGTTCAGGTGTTGACCCAGACCAGTCCTGAAGCAACAACTTGCATTTAGAGGGAGAGAAGCGCATCCCAAACATTCTGGCATTGTTGCTTAGTGCTGCCAGAAGACTCTGCATTTTGTCAGCGTCTTCACCAAACAGGACTATGTCATCTGCGTATTCTAAGTCGATAAGTGGACCTCCTGGAAGGAGATCAATACCCGAGAATTCAGTCGACGAGAGTGTTATTTCCATCAATAGGTCTATGATGAAGTTAAACAGAAATGGAGAAAGTGGACAGCCTTGACGGACACCACTTGAGGTTGCAAAAGTAGATGACAGTTCGCCATAAGCCCTGACTCGACTAGTAGTGTTCGAGTAAAGAGCCTTCACAAGGTTTATGTACTTCTGAGGTACGCCTTTCAATGACAGACACTGCCACAGAGTCTCGCGGTCTACGGAGTCAAATGCTGCTTTTAAGTCAAGAAGTACCACCATCGTCGGACGCCGATAGGTATGCCTGTGTTCTAGAACCTGACGAATGGTGAATATGTGGTCGATGCAGCCACGACCAGGTCTAAAGCCAGCTTGGTTCTCTCGAGTTTGTAGTTCACGAGTCTTAGTTAGGCGTTTGATAATTATCGAGGCCAGTATTTTAGATACTATGTTTGTTAAACTAATCCCTCTGTGGTTGTCACAGGATGATTTTGACCCTTTCTTATATATTGGGACGATAAGTGATTGCGACCAGTCAGATGGGATAAAGTCTAATTCCCAGATCTTAGCTAAAATATTAGTCAACTTAATCGCTAAAATTGGACCACCATCCTTAAAGACCTCTGGAGCCAATCCATCTGGACCAGCTGCCCTTCCTCGTTTCAGATTAACTATAGTCTTTTGAACTTCAGCAAGAGTCGGGGGACCTACTTCAATGTTCCATTCACACTGTCTGGGAATGGAGGGTAGTTGTAGAGTAGCTGAAGGCCAGCTGAACTGTTCCCTAAAGTGTTCCGCCCATCGTTCTAAACGCCTGGACTTGGAGCAGATGAGTGTATCGTCTTTTTCCGATATAATCTCACTTACACTTGACTTATTAATTCCAGTTTCTTTTATTAGTCTGTAAAGCTGTCTTGTGTTCCCTATAGTCGCCGCCTTTTCCATCTCTTTTGCTTTCGATGCCCACCACTGCTCACGGTCGTTTCTTAGACTTTTTCTTAACCTAGATCTGATTTGTTTTCGCTCTTCATCATGTTCAGAACCTGATGGGACGAGTTTGCGAGAATCCATCAGTGTGACAGACCTTGAAGAAATCCACTGGTTCCTTACAACTCTGTGGTTTAAGTCACTAATAGATGTCACTGCTGTTTCCACAGCTGATTGTATGCCCTTCCAAGCAACATCTGGGTCAGCCTCGTCTTCACAACTACCTAAGTGTGACCTCAGTTGTTCCTGGAACCTACTTCTGGTTTTCTCGTTACTTAACTCAGTTCTAACGGGTCTTTTTAATGTGGCTTTTTTGCGTCCAGTGAGGCGCAAGCAGATGCGTGCCCGTATTAGGGCATGATCGGAGTCCAAGCAGGTACTCCAGAATGAGCGACAATCTTCTACCGACCCTCTCCAACGATGACTGATGGCAATATGGCCTATTTGAGTCCATCGTTGGTTTGGTGTAGGGGGTCGCCATGTTAGACGATGTCTCTCCTTATGCTTAAAATTTGTGTTTGCTAAAAATAAACGATTGTCTGAGCATCGCTGCAGCAGACGATCACCATTATCTGTTCGCTGTGTCGGAATACTAAAATATCCACCTAAATGCCTTTCTGTTTGGTTTAAACTGCCTATCTGAGCTTTAAAATCACCTGCTACGAGTACTATGTCTGAGCGTTTAGCTTTCTGAATAAGTTCGGACAGCTTTCTGTAAAATTCATCTTTCACATCATCTGAGCTGCAGTCAGTGGGAGCGTAGGCAGAAACGACAAAAAGGCAACGACGTGTGTTCCTATCCTTCCGAGTTCTTACGTAGCCGTTCAGCCGAACAGCACATAGACGACTGTTGACGGGGATCCACTCTAGCAGTGCTTGTTCGGCCCTCATGCTTAGTGCTATGCCTACACCTGCCAGTCCACGAGAACTTGCCATTGGGTCACCAGATACACGAAGGGTGTACCTCGTTGGCTCTCCGTTTTGCCGAGGTGAGGTAAAGTGAATGACCACACTGGAATCCTGTATGCGTGTTTCGGAGACACAGCACACGTCAATGGTAAGAGACTCTAGGGTTTTAGCCAAGGAAGCCTGCTGACCGATTTGACATAGGGTTCGTACGTTAAAGGCTCCAATGTGTAGTTTGGAGCGAGGTTTCAGTAGACCTGGTACAGTATTTTGCGCACTAGAATCGTTGGCTATGGTGACACTTGAGGTGGAAGCCGAGAGAGGAAATTTAAAGGTGAAAGTCGATGTAGGAGGAATAATAGGAATTGAAGAGGAAGGTTGATTATGAATACAGTGGTCTTGAGTGCTGTTAGAGGTATGAGGGCGGTTTTCACTTCCCGGTTGCCCACACCGTGGAAGGGTTGTTCTGGGGGTACCTGAAAAGGAATTTGGATTAAAGGTGGTCTTAGTGACCTGAGAGCGTGACCGCAGTGCCCAAGGGACAACTGCTTGAGGTCGGTCACACACGACCTTGTTATGGGTAATTTTTGTGTTAGCTCCGTACTTATTGAGACCTTACCGCCGGAGACGGATATCCGTGGGATAAGGCGAGGTGTGCATTTTTAGGGTCGACCTTTTCTAACCCCACCCCTCCTTGTGGGAAGGCAGCATCGCTGTCATGCTGGTTGTCTGAAGGAAACACCTTACTGCTGTCACACCTCTGTACAGTGAGCAGTACGACTTCGCCTTCGGACCTTGGGTTTGTTGCTTTTAGTCTTACCGCTCTTCAACCGACCTGTCTGACATGGTAGGACCTTGAGGAACGGTTGTTCCAGCCAGTATAGCTCGGTTGCTTCATCACGATAGGCAAGCCCGACCACCACGTCAAGGTAGCAACAACGGTCGGGGATATATATATATATATATATATATATATATATATATATATATATATATATATATATAAGCATGTGTCAAAGTTTAAATGGCACATATCACGACATACCTAATTCACTTTCTTTAGTTTAGATAAACTATGATGTACCAATTTGTCTGAATGCTACTAAATATTAAGAAACAACCGATTTCGTTAAGGATATTTTGTGCTTAAGAAGGAAATCAAAGACCATCTTCAAAATAAAGGGTGTTTATTAAGACTCGTATTAAATTAAACAGATAGTGTTTATTAGTGTCTACCTGGTATATTTACTGTCACTATTTTTGTTAAGAATGACCATTTATATAATGATGAAGCGTTTTTACTTTGACTGTTGTTACACAGACGGTCGAAACATGTTTTTTATGTCTTCCGTGAAATTTCTTGATACATTACTTTTATTGAATTAGGAATAAGTCGGGATAACATATGAGGATCAGAATAATGCCCTGTACTAGTCTTTAATATTTATGATCGCTCGTTTTCATACTTTTCCTTATTCTCAAAACGTTAAAAATGAGTGGCTATGGGTTTGAAATGTCATAGGTGAGCGTGGATGAAAACGGTCAAAGCTATTCACTTTTTCGCCTTTTAGCTGAAGGCTATTTATTTACCACTACTTGATCTCAATTTATTCTTTTTGCTTCCCATTAACTCGTGCCTGCTATACAGCATATTTGAATTTGGAAAAAAATGGTAAGTTTCCCTAGTCAGTTTCACTTTTCAATTACGTCTACAATTGACGTAGTATCCCAGTGATGCGCATCAACTAATGTTTTGTTTTGAAAAGAATCGGTGAATTTAAAGACCCATCTTTTAAAATTCGACATTAAATGAACAATTCAGTTTTCATTATCAAATTCTTTTTAAGAAGGGATATTTTAATCTCTGAAAAACCGAATACTTTAACCTTTTATTTCAAATTAAAATCTATTCACTAGATATTGTAAGAGGCAAATTAAAATAATCAGTTGGTAGTCGTAAGAGTTGCATATGTTTGGTGGCTAATTGACGATCATATCAGTCAAACCTCTATTCTTCTTGAATTTATGTAAAGGAAAATTCATTTCTGTGTTCAATTTTAGTAGTTACAGTAGATAAAGTTTTGGATGGTGGATTGTCAAGAGAATATTCTACACAACTACTTTACCAATCACTTTTACTAATCATTCAATGTTGATTACATCGTTCAGGGTCGAACTATTATTTCTAATGGCAACTTTTTCTTGCGTCCATAATTTCCCTAGCTCCTTTAGAGCTAGCTGTAGATCACATGATAGCTGTATTTTTCAGTATTTAATTGGTAGTAGTCACAGTTCCAGACAATCCGTTCAGTACAATTCAGATAAATTGTTATTTATACCTTGGTGTAACATATTTAATTAGTACATCAACAGTGAAATGACAGATTAGTAAAAGAAATACATTTTGTTCTATTTATTAGTAAGTATTTTGGCTTTACATAATAGCCAAAAGGCTTACGCACGCACCATTCAGTTTGTTACATGCTGATGAAATGAAGTGCGATAGGTTCCTCATAGTTTTTAATCATGAATAAATTGAATGATTTATTCACAGTAATTCAGAAAAATCTACTGAAATGTTCGGCAGACGTCAAAAGATAAATAAACATGAAGTCAATCTCACACAATCATCCGCGAATACTATAAGAAATCGAAGATGATAACTCATTTCCTAAATCCAACGGTTTTCAGAAAGGAAAATGTTATCAACGCTATCTTTGCATTGTTCTGTAATTCATTCGTCAAAGTGATTTCCTCCTAACCAGTGGGCACCAAGTTCAAACTACTCCTGCGGTTTGTGTTGCAGTACGGTACCACTTTACTTCATACAGATAATGGGACTCAAAATCAAGTGCATAAACCTGTACTTAGTAAATAGTTTGTATAAATCAGTATATTTAACTACTAAACCCTTTAAGCAGCATTATCAAGTGTAAACACGACGACTCAACCAAAAAAATTTTATGTTTTGGACAAAGTCATATTCTAATTCAAGAAATTTTTATTTCTCAATTGTTTTTTGTTTTGCTTATTAATAACAGGTGGCTTTGTTGCCAACGTTCTGTTAGGTGGTTTAGGCAAATCTTATAGTTTGGTTATGGAAGCGTTTCAAGAAGTATTTGAATGTGGTTCTGCCTACTTGTTTTTAGCTGGTGGTTTAATCTATACACTTATGTATTGTCTGTGTAAGTTTCTATGCATTTGAGATATTATGTTTATATTTTCGAAATCAATTAAATATTTCTATAAATAATATTTAAATACTATCAAATTACATTTGGCGGGATTCTAAGTAATTTATTTTGGGAACTTTAAATGAAGTTATTGAGCAATGGTAACAATGGTATATATGAAGTTAGCGACTTCGAACTGCATGACTCAAAATCATTTGCAGTAGCACAGTTGCATCCATCCTTTGTCTCCCCCAGAATCCTGAGATCCTAAATCCCTCGACTTTTTTTGTTTCTCTAATTTATATTTACTTTTCGGTTGTGTGTTCGGTGCCTAATCTTTCCCATTACCACTGATACTGTTACTACCTCTACTATTCTGAGATTTGACCTAAAAACTTCATCTCTCTGTGTTAACGGGGTAAGGCAACTCGAACCGATGTATATACATATAGGTCTTACGTTGTAACTGACTGACTTTGTGTAGGTCTTCTTACATTAGAGTTCGTGTAATAAGTTGGAGCTGAATATTATTTAATTACCAAGCTATGTCTTTCGAAATACATATTTAAACGCTCCCCTGCTTAGCTTTCTAAAGGACCACAGAAGTCAGTTTAAAGCTCAACCTTGAGGTATTGCTCATCCTGCTTACCGAATAATACAATATATAATATCTCTAGAATTTTAGCGTAGTTTAGTTATGTTTTCACACCTAACAATTTTAAGATGGTGCTCTAGACTCGGTCACCCAGTTTTACAATAACTAATGAGGTACATGGATATATTGAATTAGAAAGTTACATCATCTCTAGTACCTTGCCTTTAAAATTGTTTCATCGTTATCAAGTTTGATTAATGTTTACCAACTTACTCAACTCAGTATAGTCTGTTAGTTATGTAATCCCCTTCTAAGCGGGTATAAAACTCATCAGTGTCATTAATTTTAAAAAAATTAATCTAGGTGTTGTCAGTTCTTTTAAACAATATCAAGATGTACTAGTTTCTTCAACTTATATTTTTAACATTTGGTGGAACCACTAGTTTGTCGAATTTTTAGCTAATAAAGGCTTCGACATGCATAACAAGGTGACCAATGGTCAATCAGTCAGTCAGTAACAACGTAGAACTTCGTACGTACGTACATCAGTTCGAGTTGCCACACCACATTAGCACAGAGGGTTGTAAAAATATACCAGCAATGTGTGTGAGAGATTTCACATGTTCAATTACTGCTTCATTAGGTATTTAATGTTGGGTTAAGTATTCAAGTGCCTGCATAATTCAAAAACCAAGTCTTTTAAGTAACCTATATCAATATGGGATGAAGTCATAGAATGACTATCAAGCAATAAAAAAATAGAATAGAATGATTTGTTTCCTAAAAAATATTGTTTCTCGAGATTGAGTTAAATAATTTATTAGTTTTAGTCAGATTTATAGCTTTCTTCCAATCTACTCCTACACCATAAAACATCGCACGTCGAGGCAGTCTGTGGTTGGACATACGTAACACATGTCCCGGCCATCTCAACTGATGAAGTTTTACTAATTCATCAATGGATTTGTCATCCTTACCTAGTACCCGTTTCCTAACAACTGCACTACTTACTCGGTGGTCCCAGAATATACGAGCAATGCTTCGAAGACACCTATAATCGAATATTAGTAACCTACGAATATTTTCTACTCTTACCGGCCATGTTTCACTGCCTTTAGGCACCGGTTCTTGAACCAACTATTTCCGCATACTTCATACAGCTTTGAACCGCATTCAACCATCTCGAATCCTGTATTGACGAAATGTTTCTGCGAATTAAAAGAACATTGTAATGAGACGACATTTGAAAAGTATAAACAAATTTATAAACAGCGTAGGAATACTATAACAGAGCCTGTTGTAGTTATGGTGATGATTATATAGATCTGAATTGCTTCTAGATAGCTGCGTGTTCATAACTATTTGGTAATTTCACTCACTTTACTTTGTACAGCTGACTGGCTTAATTAAAATTGGATTAGCTTCATTTCAAAAACATTGGTTTTTTTTATACGAGTTTTAACTGAACTGCCAGCTGGTCGGTCAGTGTAAAGGTGATCATAATCACTGGTTAAATATGGTAGTATTGCTTAAAATTAATCAGTGGCGCATATGTATTTGGTTTATACTTTCTTCCTAACCTATATTGTTTCATATCTTGAGTGTTTATAACTACTTGATAAATTTACTCACGAATATCCTTTTCTGCTAGGGACCATGTATCACTACAATACTGTAACACAGAGAGAACCTTTTTACAGTATACTCACGCCTCGGTTGGTAGATGAATATTTCTCCTACTGCACAGGTGACGCAAGTTGTCAAAAGTTATGGGAGATATCCGTTCAACATATTTCTTGTCTATGTCGGACACACTAATCTTTATCAATGTCTCTCTTTTGAATATGTTCTTTTCAATTTCTTTTTTACTTTTATTTAGTTTTCTACTTCGTAAATCGGCTTGTATGTAATGACTGAGTTGCATTATTTCTACCAGAGAAATTAAAGAAAATTTTTTTTGTCTTACGTAGTTGCGTGTAGCCAGTAGTTACGTCTTATTCCCAGTTCAATTGTTGGTCCTGCTTAATATGATGTAGTAGTGAATTTATCCATTTGCCAATAGCATTAGTTTTCTCATATTTTAGTAGTTTAATTATTCTGGTCTTTCAATGTATGTTAGTTATCAGTCGATGTTAGCCTTAAAATATACCTACTGATGCAAACAACCTTTCTTGTATGCTATGGATGCTAAAGGAGGTGGTAGTATGTTTAATATAGAAATTGGTATAGTTTATATAATTATTATGTTTGTGTTGATGTATTCAATTTTAATACATTTCGCTTGTTTATAAATTGTCATTTACTGTTTTTTTTTTCTAGCTCTCGTTAACCACTTAATTTCAAAACGATATGGTAGTCGACCTGTTGTAATGGTTGGTGCTTTTGGCTCTTGTATAAGTTTATTAATTGCATCATGTTCACCGAATCTTGCACTTTGGGTTGTTGCTGTTGGTTTTGGAATAGGTACTTCATCTTGACTATAAGTTTCTTGTTTTTTCTCGTTTACCATTGAAAGACTACTGAGTATTGACTAATGTCATGTCTGTATGGTCCTTTAAAACTGAAAGAATTCTATCGATCAAGTTGCAATGTGATAACTAGTCGAAAGGACTCAATGTAGTATGGAATATATTGAGATGTTAACCAGTTGGAGGTAGTCAATAGAAAATTCTACTTGGCCTAGATTCCGGTCTGGTTGGTACTTGACATCTTGAGGAAGCTGACGCTCCCTGTAAGACTAATCAGTTGTAAATATTTCAGTCCTACAGATGGCTAGTCAGGATTGGAATAGCTCAATCGTGATATCTGAGAGTTTCAAGGTAGGTGACACTAATTTGAATCCTACAAGGAGGATTAGTTGCTTAAAGATTCCAGGTGTCTTGTTGATGAGTGCTAACCAATATGATACCCAAGTACAGGGTATCTTGCCAACTGCATAACATTTTTGTGTTGGTTTTCTCCATCGTTAGTAGTCCATATATATTTTTTAAATAACGGAAAATGTGATATCGTAATCATTTTACAAGCGATAAAATGAAAGTACTGTGAGTAGTGAATGCTTTGTCGGTTTTTTTTAATTAACAAGTATTGTTGATTTTGTGTTATTCTACTTTTTTGCTAGACTATATTTCAGTCTTTCTAACTTCTAGTTAATTAGTACACACAATGTTTACAATGTTGGTTGTTGGCTAGCTGATTGATATTTAAGCTCGTTATTTACCGATTAAATCACGGGTTCAAATACCGCATAATCGAAATGTTTTAGCACTTAACAATGCCTATCATAGGTGCATGATTATATCTGATCAATTAAGAAAACTACCGTTCATTTGTATTTATTTTTTAGTGCTTAGTTTGTTAATAAGTGAAGGCTCCGTGGGAAATCATTTCCACTGTTTTCGTATTTAGATACTTCAATTTTCAACTTTCAGAGTTTCTTTGTAATCCAAGTTTTTAATCATTTGAATAGGATAAAGCTTATTTTCCTTATGTGAGGGCAATAAATTGTGTCCACCTCAAACATTGTTTACTTATATACGCCACCCACCAGTACTCTCCATTGAACGTTGTCCTATACAATCCTTTCCAGCTTTTCCCAGTTGTTGTTCATCTTTTTTTCATATCTGCTTCTATTTTCCAACGTAATGTTTTCCTCTTTTCCGCTTCCCGTCAGGATTCCAAATATCGGTTGTTTGTTTGTTTGTTAACTATGACCATGTTGTGTAATATTGTCTAGGTTATTATAAATAATTTATTTTTGTAATTTTATAACTGAAAATATAATTCTATATTAGGCGTAAACTATTCATAGTCTCTCTTTTTGTTTATTTTTAATCTTAAGATATATGTAATTCATAATAAATTCACAATTTACTGATTAGTCAAAACTGATATTGTTTAACATGAGATTATTGATTTGGGAGTAAATTGTTTTTTATAGCTAGCCTGTAATCATTATAGGGATAAATATGCATTAGCTCAAGTTATCACGCCAAGATGAAATCGACAAAATAGGGTGACAAGAATGTTGGCGATAATAAAGAGGTCTAAATATAATCTAAAATGTAGGTAATAATTTTGAAAACTGAAATTTAGAATGAGATATAGTATAGATCCATCTTCACCATTGGTTACGGTTTTCACGTGAACACTATTAAAGTACTCCACACCAACCAACATAGTTCAGACTAACAGTGATTTAATGGATTGATACCAAACCTACCTTGGGATCGAGTTAGCCGGTAGTTGAACACACTTAATCCATGTCGGTATGGCTCAGAATAGAAATCAATGGCGATCTTACTGTATATGTTGTTTAGTGCTCAAACGTACCAGAAATTGTTGAATATTATAGATATAATATAAAGTAATGAAAAGAAAAAGAAACGGATTCCAAACATTCTTGGATTATTACTAAGGGGGTCCAAAAGACTATATCTTGTTGACATCTTCACCAAGACAAACTAGGTCACATGTGTACTCTAAGTCAATGTATGAACTCCCTGAATGGGAATTAACTTATTCGCATCCGATGATGTTTACAGATAATTGTACATTATATCACGTTTAAATCAGTCGTTAAATAAATTCTTGAGCAAGTAATATTTTGATATGACCATTATAATGACACTACTTACCGAACCTAATATATGTTGTCTATCAACATTAGAGTTGGTATTCTTTCCGGATATCTATTCAAAGTGTAGAAGCTAATCAGTACAATTGGCGTTAACGGGAACCATGTGTGATCATATACTGAAAAAAAGTTCTCATAGGATCCATGTACATTTTCTCACTTTCATTTTGCATAAGTTCTATTGCTTTAGTATCAAAGGAATTATCACTCGCCTATCATCTGATTATACATAAACTAATTAACTTTACTTGTATCTTTCCACAGGCGCGTCCTTGTCATGCATTTATTTCACAGTGTTCGCTGTTGTTGGATGTTGTTTCAAACGATATTTAGGTTTAGCAAATGGAATTAGTGTTGCCGGTGTTAGTGTTGGTCAAATGGTATTTCCTTCATTGATCACTACTTTGAATACTACTTATGGTGCTAGAGGTGGAGGAGTAATTATGGCTGCAATTTGTTTACATTTGTTAATCACAGCTGCATTAATGCCTCGTCATATCATTGATCCAGATGCACCTGTTGTGCCAGCAGAAAAAGTTGAAACAGGCAAATCAAAACGGAAATCTTGCAAGTCACAATCAAAATCTAAAGAAGACAAACAATTAATGGCTTCAGAAGATCTTTTGAATGCTGATAAACAGTCGACAGCCATTGATTTAGATAAGAAGTTACAAAGTCCCGTAGATGAGTTCTTCTCGAAATTAGACAATCAAAGGTAAGTTCTGTAATTTCTAGTGTTCATTTGCTGCTGCTTATTTCCCCTGTATTTCGATTAGTTTCCTAGATTTGTTGCGTTGTGGTCATTAGTCAAAGTAATGCATTGGTGTACTTTGTTCGGTGTCAGGGTGATTTCAGGTAATTGAAAGAAAGGGTTAGATCTAGGTTTAGCGTTACCTATCACTCGTCAGGCATATCAATTACTGTAAACATTCCAGTCCTACTATAGGTCAGTTGCTATCCAGATAGCTTTCTAATAACGTCTTTACTTTGACACTAAATGAAAAGAGTTAGAGTTCTGGGGGTGAAGATCATCCTGCTCAACGTTGTAGATACGCATAGAATCTTGAAATCGATTTGTAAGCATGTTTGTTCGCCTCTTTTAGTTATAAAGAGAGCACTAATTTGGCTAGTATTATGTGAACACTGAATTTAACAGAAGGTTGTGAAGAGTATTATGTTTTTGTAACACCATTACGTAGTAGTTCAACTAAATCCCAATTCAATGTACTCTCATTTCTGTTCACTACTTGTCTTCTATTTATTTTCAGAGATGTAGTACACTCAGTGAATGCTATTATTCATTCTTCGTCTACATTATCATTGTCCCGTGTATCTGTCCTATCATTATCAACTCGTCATGTAAAATACCTTACTCGTGGTTTACTTATTGTTTATATAGTTGGTAAAACATTTGGTGACGTTGGTGATGTCAGTGTATCTTTTATAGCACCAGTATTTGGAACTGAACTAGCCTTAAGTCCTACCATAGTGAGCACATTTTGGTATAATTCCTTTATAATATATTTAATTAGATTGCTGTTATCTTATGGTTTATATTGCTTTATTATTTCTTAAGTTAGGTAATGTTAAATTGGGTCAACTTTGAATAAATGAGCTACGTGAATTAAGTGAGAAAACAAGCTTATCAATCTTTTTTTTCCAGCTAATTACAAAAAAATTGGTTGTTGCATCAGCCAAAGTTGTATATGCTGGAAGTTTTCTACATAATCCTTACATAAATAATTGTGTTTTCACTTCCGTACACTTGTTTTGAATGTTGATTTTTGATCAACAAGTTAGCTATAAGCAACGTAGTAGCAACATCGGTGTGATAGTAAAAAAAACCAGTGACAGGAAATACGATTCAAGATAAAAGAAGTGGTTCCCGGAGTAGTATTATAAGTTGATCCTAACATTCAAGTTGTAAAGTAAAATAGTGGATGTATCTGCGTTGTTGAGACTGATTTTGAGCCATTTCACCTAATGTCTTCAACCACTTACTGCGGTTATCTCACGGACCCCAACCAGGTAGTCTTCAACTACTTACACGACTTAGTTCTACAGTTAGTGACTATAGTTGATGATGCCATATATTGGTTTGTTTGCCTCTTTATTTCTTCCAATCTATTATTTGAGGTAAGTGGGGTAGTTGGGCTTGCGTAATACACATTCCAGCCATTTCAGTCGATGAGGATCCATTGTTTTATCAACCGATTTAGTATGTTTGTCTCGTACACTGCGTCCAACTTCATCATCGGTCACTCGGTGGTTTCAATATACGCGAGCAATGCTTCAAAAATATATATGATTAAATGCTATTAACATACAAATACTCCCCATTCACATAGTGTACATTTCAAAGCCATAAAGTAGAGCAGAACGAACTACAGCTCAGCATACTTATCTTTTGGTTGGCGGTCTGGCATTTCTACACCACAGTTGACTTGAAATATATATTGTGTACTTACAGAAATGGTCATTTATGTTGTTGATTTAATCGCTGGTTAATTTTTATAAAAATATTGTTTGGGTAGATGTCTTTTTATATTAACTTCTTATCATAACTTTACATTAATGTATAAACCAATCAAATCGGTGCAAATTACTTATTAGACAATCAATCAACTAAAGTTTTGTTATCAGAATAGGGGTTTGTGGAGATTGTAGCAATTTAATAATTGAATGCATGAGTCGATTTAAGCTAGACCACCATGGGAAACTTAGAAGCACTGGACAGCTGTTTCGTTCTAGTACAAGACTCCTCAGCAGTGTGCACTTACGACCCCGCACACGGGACTCGAACCCGGGACCTTCAGTCTCGCATGAAAATACCTAACCTCTAGACTACTGAGCTGGCATCTACTAACAGTGTTAATGTCTACGATATTGCGCGACCGTCTATCATTGTTTTCAGTAAGTAACTGCGTCAAAACAGTTTCATTGTCGCTTCATAGGCAGTACATATATACGAAGAGCTATGCAAGTAATACAGACATTTTTTACACCTTATTTTCCAGTCATTCTTTTTTTTTTAATTGTAAGAAATAAAAAAAGGATTAGTTGCATATACACCTTGTCTATATCTGCTCACTAGTTAAACTACTTATTTGAAATGATTTCTACCAACTACACAATTTGGTAAAGTATTTTCCGAATTTTGAAATATCATTCATTCTCATTAGCTCTCTATATCTTCTCACTGATGAATAGACATTGAGTATTTAGTTAGTGAACCCTAATTAAAATAATTTGATTTATGTATCAACCTACTCTATGAACTACATTTTCTCTTAACGTTGTCTGTATTTATCTTTTTTTAATCTAATCGCATTAATCATTAGTTAAATTAAAACGACGAGACTATTATTCTTTGGATGAACCAATCAGATTTACGATAACATGTCTTGAATTTTGGCGCGAAATCCATTCATCTTTTCGGTTAAATAGAGTTTTGGCATTATAGCTGATGTCAGTTCATGATGAAAATCCTCTATCTGATTCCTAACCCTAACCATCAACTATAAATACTAATTATAATTTCTCACACTGGTTTATAATTCTTATTTAGCCGTAGTATATAGGTGTGAACATGCTCAAGGTGTCTTTAGCGTCGTTCAAAGTTCATCCATAAATTATATTCTCACCGTTAAAACTACTAGTATTTGATCCTAGGTGCCTTCGAAATATTGCTCGTATATCCTGGGACCATCGAGTAAGTAATGCAGTTGTTAGGAAACGTGTACTAGGTAAGGATGGCAAATCAATTGATGAAGTAGTGAAACTTCATCAGTTGAGATGGCTGGGACACGTGTTACGTATGCCCAACGACCAACTACCTCGACGTGCTATGTTCAGTGGTATAGGAGTAGGTTGGAAGAAAGCTAGGGGTGGTCAAACCAAAACATGGCACAAGTCCATGAAGTCACTGACAAGTGAACTGAGTCATGTTGGTAGGTGCAGACTACCTGGTTGGGGACCGCGAGATGACAGCAACCGATGGTTAGAGACCCTGAATGACATGGCTCAAAATCGTTTGCAATGGCGCAGGTGCATCCACTCTCTGTGTTCGCCCAGATTCTAATCTTCTGAATTCTTCATGTCCCTTTTTTCCTCTTTCCAAATTTATTTCACTGGATTATACTCTTTAAATAACATCTCCAAACCCTAATCTTCCCGATTACTGCTTATACTCTTGCTACCTCTACCACTACGGGATTTAAATCGACCACTGCATCTCTGTGTTAATGTGGTGTGGCAACTCGAACTGATATACGTACGTACGAAGTTCTACGTTGTTACTGACTGACTGAACTGACGTAAAAACTACTGTTCAATTGACTAGGAAGATTTACAAATCTTTTTTTTTCATTCCCGTCTTTAGTTTTTCTCATCATTTTATTTCTTATATATAATTAATGTTAATCTGTGTTGACAATAATCATTTGATTGCGTAACTTGAATTTTTCAACTACTTTTACGAATTATTATTTAAACACTGTTTTAATTCATTAAATTTGTAATCTTATGAACATTGTCAATTACCTTACCTTAGACACTTTAATTTATGGAATTCATTTATCTATTATCTAATTGTTAACTAATCTTTGCCATCACTGCTAGGTAAGTCCTGCTCACTGCTTTCTCGTGGCAGGGTTGTTGTTTACGAAATTAAAAAGACGAAAAGTGAGTGTCTGACGCTTTAAGCGAGTTGTTGGACACGGAGAATTCACTTAGGGGAGTTGGAAAATCCTGATTCCAAACCAATAGTGCACATGGGCTCCAGGATCCTAAGGAAACAAGTGACGTATGAACCAATTATTGGTCACCGGCTAACATGAGACTGCATCTTCTGACGTTGCTCCACTGCCTTATGGATCAGACTTTTAGGTCGAAGGCTCCGTGTGTGTGACCCCCTAAGAAAACTACCTGCTTCAGTTTGGGCATCTGGGTAATATCCTAGCCCTCACACAAATTAAGTGATTTGTGTGGCGCATATGTATTCAGTGCCCCTAAATAAAAAACTTTACCATCTTTACTTGGTTTCTACTAATTTTTATCATTTATTGTACAGGCATGATTTTAGTGTAAAACTAACTGTTGAAGGAATGACGAACCAGTTAAACATAATTACTAATTCTTGATAATGTTGATAGTTTTTGTATAACCAGTTGTAAAAATGTCAGAAATCCTTATACCTAATATGTGCATTACGTTTTGAATATGATAATGTACTCAGGTAAAAAAAATTTTGGTGTGTAATATATTCATCATTGTTAACTCTGTGTAGATGATAATATTTTTATTATTTCCTTCAAAGTTTGCATTCAACTATGACATTAAAATCAACACCATATCACACTGATAATAGACCCCGACCATAGCTGCTACCTTGACGCGGCGGTCGGGCTTGCCTATCGTGATGACCCAACCGAGCTACATTGGCTGGAACACATGTTCCTGTAGGTTCTACCATGCCAGGCAGGTCAATTGGAGAACGATAAGTCTAAAAGCAGCAACTCAAGGTCCAAGGGTGTAGTCGTACTGCTGACTGTAGAGGGGTGTGACAGCAGTAAGATGTTACCCTCGGACAACCAGCATCTACAGCGATGCTGCCTTCTCACAAGGAAGGAAAGGGTTAGAAAAAGTCGACCCTAAAAATGTCACACCTCACCTTACCTCACGGATTTCCGTCTCCGGCGGTAAGGCTCTTTGGAGAAGGGAACTAACACATTAAAAACCTCCCACGAGAAGGCCGTGCGCGACCGGCCTCAAGTAGTTGTTCCCTGGGCTCTGCGGTCACGCTCCCAGGTCGTTAAGACCAACAGTAATCTGATTTCCACTTCAGGTTCCTCGAGAAATACCCTCCCACGGTGTGGGCAGCCGGGAAGTAATATCAGCCCTCATACCCATACCAGCACACGAGATCAAGTTGGTCACATTCAAATCCTTCCTACACCTCCTAAAGTTGACTGACTGATAATAGACTGCACTGATAACAGAATAGCGTGATGTATTGGCTAACATGAATGCTGCTTGTACGGGAACAGTCATACTGTTTAAATCTACTATCACGAAGAAAATACTTAATGTTTGTTGATGTCATTTGTCAGTTTTAAAATACCATCATGTTTTAGATTTTGTGTAATATTATTTTCAACTTTTCAAAAGTAGACAAGATGTTTGTTTGTTCTGTGTATTTGACCCTTCTATTCTTTTTTGTTTTGTTTTGTTTTACTTTTATCTATTTGTTTATTTATGTCTAACTTAATTGTTTTCAATTCTTGACAGTTTTTCTTACTTATTTGCTTTCTTTCATTCTTTCTATTGAAGATACTCATACAACTATTGTCTTTATATTCTATCAAATTGATTCAAGTTTTAAATCATTAATAATTTTGTATATAGAAAGAAATACGGGTAGTTGTACATGTATTTTTATGAATCATTTGCAATAAATAATGAACCTTCTGACCAACATTGAAATTAAAGTAGAACACTACTACTACTACTTATCATTAAGAATACTAATGAATCTGTCTGCATAGAATTGTCTTTTTTAAGTTGTCTAAACTTTAAAAACATTTTCGTTATAATGTCTGTTTAATTTCAAAGTTGATTTACTTAAAAGTAGCTTCCATCATGGAATAGTATTATCTGTGGAGAACGGTTTAGTAGGTGTCCCGTTCTAGTTTTGGGGAATCTTTAAGTAAATCTTATTTAAAAACGTATACATGAGCTCCAAGTCGAAATCTTCTAGTCTCATAGTAACAAAAATTAACTTCATTTCATTGAATCGTGACATTTACAACTTAACCCGAATTACGAACGATGTAATTAACATATCTTGTCAATGGACTGTTTTTAGTATTGATGGTTTCCATGTCAGACTGTTTCACTTATTATTCAATAATCTTTTATGAACCTAGTCCGTGTACTCCTTTCAATAAGGTTCGAGTAGTTATTGTGGTTCACTTGTTAAGTTATCGAATTACTGTTACTTTAGTTCACCTAGAAATTTAGTTCTTCATTGTCATTAAATTAACCCTTGTGTACTACGTATATTTTTCCATTATCGTTTCTTTCATTATGTTTATTATCAGATCAACAGAGCTATAGCTGTTGCTGGTGTCGGTGACTTAATCACACGTGTGGGAGTTGGTTGGCTTACAGATAGACCAGCATGTGTCGGTCGTCGTGGCTTATTGTTAGCTGTTACATGGATCATAGAAGGTTTAAATGCCTTTGCATTTGCTGAACTTAACCGATTATATGGAAAATATGCTGTAAGTCTGTAAACAATAATGCTTGTCTAACTTGATAATTTCTGTCTCTTATGCTAACCAAATAAAATAACGTTGAAATCTTGGATATAGTACTCGAAAAAGATGAAAAGGGGTTGTGTCTACGTCGTTATCATAATGATTTTGAGTCCGACCTATCATTCTGTAATCTGTACTCGTGAACTCTCCACATTCCCATGTGAATCAAACTGATTATTAGAGTTGGTATTAAGACGACGACGGTTTTTTTCTTATCCCTAACCATTTATGGGTTCCTGACAATCCTATTTCAATATGCGTTTGGTGTTAAGGTGGACAGTAGTGCAGAAAATTTATCGATAAAACAGCCATTTAAACAGATCCGTCTTTATAATTTCACTCATTACTGTACCTTGAGATTTTTACGACAATTGAGCAATGTTGTAAATAAAAATATGAACCAATACATATACGGTATGCATATACCTCATCTCTTTCGGATTAACGGATTTCACAATACTCCGACCCTTTATGATGTCTTACTCAAGAAGGTGTAGCAAAGAAAATTTCAAGCAGTCGTTTTTTGTTACCCTGGCTCTCTCTGACGACCGACTCTGCCCGGGTTGTTTAACCCCTAAATATTTTTTTACAAATAGATCATTTTACATTCAAAGAATGTAAGTGTTTTCTACGTACTGCAGGTCAGTAGCAAATCTGTCATATAAGCTCTTGATTTCAATAAAGATGGTATAAATAGCATCATATATATCAGTAAGCTTATACAGGAATGGTGGCAGCAGATAACCTCGACAATCAGTTCTTATCACTGTATGCAAATATTCTTTGTTACTTTAAATTAATAAAACAGATTCCTCTGTGGTTTTATCTCAAGGAGCATTATGTTATTATTATTTAATATATTGCAATAATCAAGAAATGGAGACTTTATTTTTTGTATGCCTCAACTTGTATGATAACTATTATTACTTACCATTCTTGAAGGCCTTAAATCATCAAGTTCTTCTGTTCTATCTGATTTTAGGCATGCCATTCTGTGTCACTATTTAATTCAGATTTCGGCATAAGTTTCCTGTGCCATAGAATTTCGATACGATGAATGAAGCAATAGACTTGTTATATATATATATATATATATATATATATATATATATATATATATAGAGAGAGAGAGAGAGAGAGAGAGAGAGGCAAGGTATGTTGTTGAGTCGTGAAGTCATTGATTAACTGACTGTTAATTAGCTCTGGCCGTACATAAGCATTCATACGTTTTGTAGTTTGGATTAATCAAGAGTTAACTAAAACCTACAAGAGATAAACTAACTCATATGCTTCAAAACCGATTTTTAAAATAGCAGAGAAATGGCCTCTATCAAAGATCTGACTAGTTAACTATGACTGTAAACTGATATCCCATAGGTTTTCTGGTTTTAAGTGTTTTCGATTGCTGATTCCTCAATTATTGTGGACTATATCAATATGAAACTTAACTTGTTATTCAACCATGCAAAAAAATTAGATCAAAAGGGATTATGTAGGGAAAACTGCTATATATATCAGTCAATTGTGTTGTATATTTAAAACATTCTCAGCACAAATTCGAAAAACTCGTTTGGATTTTGCCAACTTACGTCACCTGTGGCGAAGGCGAGATATCCATCTATCAATTAATGAACGTGGCTATTAAGAGTAGAAGATACTCATAAGCTACTAGTATTTAACCACAAATGACTTAGAAATATTGCTCACATCTTCTACGATCACCGGCTAAGTAATAGTGAGGTCAGATGCAAGGCATTAGGGAATGATGATGGTAAACCAGTTGATGAGGTTATGAATCTTCATCGACTGAGATGGTTGGGCTACGTGTTACGTATGCCTGAACACCGATTACCACGACGCGTAATGTTGATTGGTGTTGACGATGGTTGGAAGAAAGTTAGAGGCGGTAAAACCAAAACGTGGCATCAGTCATTGGAGTCATTAACCTCTAGTCTGAGCCATGTTGGTAAATGCAGATTACTTGGTTGGTGTCCGCGTGACTATCTGTTATATCTCAAGGGGCCGCCGATTAGGTGGGCAGTGACTTATCGATCGGATCAAGGGATTCAGAATCTCGATAGACTATTCTGGTCCGTTGTCCCCAACTCCGCTAACTCGATCAAGAAGTCTAGGTGAGGCGTAGAAAGTGTATTCTACAAGCAAACAGCAGATATCAAGTCAGGTCAAGCACACAAATCAAGCGTATTTATACAAATATTTACAATCGATATTGTCATAGTAAAATGTTTTTAAACATTAATCAATGAGTTCATTAATTGACCGCTATTTAACACTTAATGGATAGTTCATCAATTTACCCCCGTACAAATATTTAAACATTTAATCGATAAGATAAAATTTAAAAAATATGAATTTTGGGGACCTGTCGTCCCCAACACTCCTCCCCTTTTTAATAGCGGGCTTTCCTGGGGTCAACCTGCATCTTGACTGTAGCTCGCCGCTGACGAAGAGGCCACCGTCCGGAACGTGTTTCAGTTTGCTGTTGAGGTTTTTCTTGTGGTGAGGTTGCCGGTAAGTTGAATGTTTCTAGCAGGATGTCAATAGGAATATTTGCTTCGGTTGATGGGCGGTCTGGGGCTAACCGTTTGCGTAACTGATTCCGATGGCGTTGCCACCTGTCACTGCCTACCTCAACTTCGTACATGACTCGCCCAACTCTCCTGACCATTCGCGCTTCCGTCCATGGACCATGGGTTGATCTGTAATCACGGGCAAACACAGGACATCCTACTTCGTACGTGGATTACTTTTCAAAGTTTGTTCGTACTGGTGTCGGTGCATTGCTTGGATGCATCAGGCTGTGGATTATCTTCAGTCTTCTTCCCATTAGGATCTCTGCTGGGGACTTTCGCTCCGGCAACGTCTCATTTGGTGTTGTTCGGTACACGTATAAGAAATTTTGCAACGCGTCCGCTGGCATCCCCTCCCCTTTTGTTTTAGCCAAGGCTCTTTTAAACGTATCCACAAACCTTTCTGCTTGCCCATTCGACTGCGGGTAGTATGGTGACGAGTGTAAGTGCTTTATTGCTAGCCGTTGACAGAATGACTGGAATTGGCTAGAGGTAAATTGCGACCCGTTATCAGATACAATGGTATCTGGTATACCATTTCAGGATTTGTATTGTTTTAGTCGTCGTTGGCGGTATGATAGGGTTGTTTTCAGGCCATTTGGAAAGGGCGTCGACTACAACTAGATACATGGTTCCGTTAATCGGGCCTGCAAAGTCGACGTGTATCCTGGACCAAGGATGATCAGGTTGTGGCCATGAAACTGGTGGAACTTTGGCGTTCACTTTTGCTGCTTCCTGACACCGCATACATTTCCCAACCAATTCTATTATATGTTGATCCATTAGCGGCCAATATGCTTGACTCCTGGCTATGGATTTCATTCGTCTAATCCCCGGATGACCAAGGTGGAACTGTTTCAGCACTTTTGCACGAAAAGATTCTGGCACAACCACTCTTTCTCCGAACATCAAGCAGTCGTTTACAACACAGAGAATCCCGCCGCTGATACAGCTGTTTTATATCACCACCAAACTTCTTAGACGGCCAACCGTTGGTGACACAGCTCATAGTCCTCTTGATGATGGGGTCGCTCTTAGAAGCATTTTGTATGTCCGTTGCAGATACTGGCAAAGATCGTATTGCGGTCGTCAGATAACATTCGGCGTGGTCTTCCGCTAGCAGAGATGCGATTACCGTGTTTTCCTCAGTCGCCAACTGGTCACTAATGAGTCGTGATAAGGCATCTGCCTGACCGAATTGTTGAGTGCGTCGGTACTGGATGTGCTAAGGCCCATCTCTGAGGACGATTTGCAGAATAAGCTAGAATGCCAGATTTTGACCCGAATATTGCGAGTAAAGGCTTGTGATCTGTGAGAAGCGTGAATCTCTGACCGTACAGGAACTTGTGGAAATGGCGCACAGCAAACACAAGCACAAGCGCTTCTTTTTCTATCTGGCTGTATTTCTTTTCTGCTGGGGTTAGTGTGCGGGCTGCATGCATAACGGCTTTTTCCGACGCATCCGGAAACTGATGGGAGATAATAGCACCTAGGCCATACGCTAAAGCGTATGCAGCTACGATGATCGGCATGGCTGGATCGTAGTGTGTCAACAGCAATTCCGAACTAATAATGGACTTCAGTTTACAAAATGCAGCGTCACACTGTTTAGTCCAGTTCCAAGTGCTGTTCTTCTGCAGTAAGCTATTGAGTGGAGCGCGAATATCATGCATCGATGGAACGAACGCTGAGTAATAGCTGACAAGTTCCAGGAAGGAACGTAGTGCCGAAACATTAGTGGGAGTGGGCATCAGTTTGATAGCTCGGATATTCTCAAGATCCGGCCTGCGGCCGTCGGCGTCGAAAATGAACCCCAAGCACTTTACCGACTGCAAATAAGACTGGTATTTCTCTGGGTGTAACCGGAAACCGTTGTCACTGATACGTTGCAATACCAATGTCGTCCGTTCTCGTAGCTGTTCTAATGTCGTCGCTACAATTAAAATGTCGTCCAGATTAGCCGCGACTCCCGAGATACCTGATAGTATGGTATCCATTAGTTGCTGGAAAATAGATGGTGCGGTTTTGATCCCTAAAGGTAGACGGTTATACTAGAACAAACCACGATGGGTATTGATAGTTAGCAGCTCTTTTGATGCTTCATCTACTTCCACTTGCAGATAAGCATCAGCTAGATCCAGCTTAGCGAAAAACTTTCCCCCATTCAGCATGGTAAATAGGTCTACGGGAACAGGCAGGGGATAATGATGTTGTTCCGGAGCTGCATTGAGACCTGTTGAAAAGTCAGCACATATACGTATCGTGCCATTGGCTTTCTTAATAACCACAATAGGTGCTGCCCATCCAGAGTAGGAAACGGGAGTAATAACTCCTTGTTGTTGAAGGCGATTCGATTCTTCATCTACTGTTTGTAATGCTGCATAAGGCACAGGTCTCTTTGGGCGAAAAGCAGGCTTAGCCCTAGTTTTCAATCGAAGTGTTGCTTTCATGACAGAGCAGCGACCCAATCCAAGTTGGAAAACAGTTGAAAACTGTGTCATTAAGTTCCTCGTATATGCATCCAAGTCATGTGGTTGTTGTCGTAGTTGGGGTTGTGACACCAGGTCGCATATGGAATTCAACGGGACATCAGCTAAATTTAATTGATCGAACCAATCTAACCCGAGCAAGTTTAGATCACCTGGTGTTACGTAACATACCCCAACAAATGCCGAATCACGGAAAGTAACTGTACATTCTATTTGTCCTAGCAGGTGAAGGTAATTACCACACGCAGTACGAGGCTTTTGCGTTGTACGCTGCAAGTTTGGGCTGCCCATTTTGGTCCAAGTCTTACGAAAGAGGATAGTGATATCTGATGTTGTATCTATTTGCAATATAGATGAATGCCCATTAATATTAACAGTAATAAATTTTCTCTGACCTAGTTATGAGCTTTGACACGAAGATACTAAGCTCAATGAATTGGTGCGGGATCTAGGAAGGGTCTTTTTGGTATTCCTGGATTGACTTGGAGTCTTCTTCAGACAAAACCCATCCTTATGACCGATAACCTTACACTTTTTGCATCGATGTTGCTTAAATGAGCAGTTTCGAACGTAGTGCCATGCACCACATTGCCAGCAAGGAGCAGGGGGAGTTGCTTTAGTCTGTCGTCTCGAGCTGGAGTGGGATGGACTGGATAAAGAAGAGACGTATTTGTTTTTGTAAGGTGGCTGTTGCACCGCTCGTACTTCAGATCGGCTAGACACACCACTCTGGACCATAGAAGTGTCTCGTTGCAGATTAATGAGACGTTGATATTCATTAGCTATATCACTCAGGGTGAGTTTCGGCTCTTGATCCAAACGACTTAGTAGCCTTGTTCGTAAGTCACTGAACTTTTGGTGCTGCAGGCTGCAAATAAGGATCAAGGCTTTAAAGTGATCTTCAGTCAAGGACTTTAACCGGATGCGTTCGCATTCACGGTTGACGACGCCCACATGCGTAAGAAAATCATCATCTTCGTTCATAGTTAGCTTCAAACATCGATAACGAGTATTAAACAGTGACGAGTTATCGCCAAAATGTTGGCTTGATGTTTGAACTGTGTCTGCAAATGATCGGTCACGTGGGTTCAAAGGCAGGATCGGATTGCAATACTTGTCCAGCTCAGTTGCACCCAATTTACGAAGTAGCAGCCGCACTTTCCAAGCATCAGCTTGATTGGCGAAATCAAATTTAAATAGATCTTCATAAGGCCTGAACTACATCTCGAAAGTAACATTAGCATCAGGATCGTAATGGAATTCAGCTATACTATTCGCGATGCCATCTACCGATGGTGCTGTGGTTGAACTAGACGTGCTTGGCTGTAAGGGAGGGGCGTACCCTTGGTCTCCATCAACATTTGCATCAATTTCAGCTGCTGCTCAAGTAACAGTTCAAGTTTGGAAGGGTCCATCATTGAAAAACCACCGTCGCCAATTTGTTATGTTTCGTTATGCTTGAATGCTACTACTGATACGTCTTACTCGAACAGAACGAAGGATCAATGATTCAGCGACTCGATAGCTACTCTGGTTCGTTGTCCCCGACTCTGCTAACTCGACCAAGAAGTCTGGGTAAGGTGTAGAAAGTGTATTCTACAGACAAACAGCAGATAACAATAGTTGGAGACTCTGTGTCACGTGGTTGTGAATCGATCACAATGGCGTCGATGTATACACTCTCTGTCTTCCATTAAACTATGAGATTAAACTGGCTTCATATCTTTCTTTCTACCAACTAATTCTTTCTTTCTGTACTATATCCTTATATGCAATGTTTCTTTTATATATTACCACCTCTGAATTAACTACTTTTATGAATCCGGTGTCAATCTTGTTGTGTGAATGAGGTATGATAACTTCGACCGATGCATATATGCGCCTGGTCCTACGTTGTAGCTGACTAACTGACCGACTGATATTTAAAACATATAATCATTTATTGACATTAATTAATTAAGATTTTCACCTTTGAACAATGAATTTATTAATTTCCTCTTTAACTTATACCTACTTGATTGATCATTCAACTGTTTCATCTTCAAATAGATTTAAGCAAATAATTCAACAAATAGCCTAAAAACCAACCTCTTTTTTTATCTTTCACTTTTATCATAGAACTATGTTAATCAAATAATGATCATTATAAAAAAGTACCATGTTATCTCTCTCTGTGTGTGTGTGTGTGTGTTAAGTACAATCTCAATTTTGCTATAATTGCCAAATTGTTTCAGTAATACAGATCATTGATCAGCTTTTTTTGATTTAAAGAATAGGTGACTTGTATCAATTATATTTTGGTTACAAAAAACAAGCGTTTAAAATAAAAGTTTGTACACATTTTGTCTTAATCAATGTAGCTATAAAAAACAGATAGATGATGTGGTTACTAGTACAATCTCAAAAAATACTAGAGTAGTTTGGGATTACTAAGTAAGGAATGCTGAATTTAGACTTATGGTATCATGTAAATATGACAAATCGGTGGATGAATTAGTGAGGTCTTCACCGACTAGGGTGGTTTGTCATATTGAAGTTATCTACACATGATGCTCATTTATCAATAAAGATTGACAAAAGCTTATTATCAGTCAGATTAATTTAAATCCCTACGAATAGTGAAACTTTATTGCTAAGCAAAAAATGTTCAGAATAAATATCAACTGCTAAACATTTACAAATCGAAATAGCCATCAGCCAACACCGAAGTCAGAATCTTCAATGTATACGTCAAAAAAGTTCTATTGTATGGAGAAGTACCGCAACTATCATCAAGAGAGTATAAATATTTATAAACAATTGTCTACGCAAAATACTTCATGTTCGCTGACCGAAAACCATCATCAATAGACTACTATAGGAGAAAACAAACCAGGTTCTATCTGAAGAGGAAATTAAGAAAAGACGTTAGAGGTGAATACGCCTAACTTGGAATCCTTATGGGAAGAGGAAAAAAGAAATTGTAAAGAAAACATTGCGTCGGGAATTTGTAACAAACATCAAAATAATCAATAGCAATTGGAAAGAACTGGAAACGATTCCCCAAGTTAGAGTTTGTTGGGGAATCCTGTTGGGTGGTCTATACTCCTCCTTGAGGGGTAACAGGCGTAAATAAGTAAGTAATTTATTGGGTCAATGAACTGAAATGGGATCATAAAAATAACTGAAGAAGTTGATTTCAACACTCATATCTCACAATATTATTTATCAATTACGAACTTTTCATAATAAATGCCCTGGTACGGCCGAGAGTGGGGAGAGTTCGCTCTCCCTCTCGAAATGCTTTCACATGGCCACGCGTATATAGCCTCTGCCAGGGAAGTCCTACTCACTGCCTTCTCGTGGCAGGGGTGTTGTTTACGAAAATAAGAGGACGAAAAGCGAATGTCCGGCGCTTTAACCGGATCCAAAGCAATGGTGCATATGGGCTCCAGTATCCTGCGGGAGCAAATGGCGTATGAATCAATCGTTGGTCACTGGCTACCATGCGACTGCATCTCCTTACGATGCTCCACTGCCTTGTGGATCAGACCTTTAGGTCAAAGGCTCGGGGTGTAACCCTAAGAAAACCACCTGTTTCGATCTGGGCACCCGGGCAGTATCACAGGCCTCAGACATATCGAATGAGAGTTGTGTGGCGCATATGTACTTGGTGCCTCCTTGTACTAATATCTATGTGTTCAAATAAAATAAATCTTAGTTTAAATCGTTATTGTTATATACTTATTTACAGTACCAATTACATTACACTTAATTTCGTTTTGAACCTGGTGAAACTACTAAAATTGTCTGGTTTATTTCACAATTTTAGATCTACAGGAACATTCCGATAACATTGCATAATTGTTTTTTTTAATTTTTTATTTTAAGTCTTAGACTAGTCTATGGAAACGGAGAAATAAACTAGCATTTCATAATTAAACACTATGATGAAGTGATAAACTAAAATGTTCGGTCAATATGTTTACACTTCTAAATCGTAGTCAGTAGCTCAACATTAGACTGAACTGGTGATATTGATATTGATGTTTTCTTGCACGTTACATGTTCACATCCTCTTATTTTTAACACAATCAATTGCCATACCCTATGTAAAATGGATTTCAATTGGTTAAGTGATTAATTCATGTTTATGTGTACACACATCTCTCTGTTCAAATATAATAATAATAATAATAATAATAATAATAATAATAATAATAATAATAATAATAATAATAATAATAATAATAATAATAATAATAATAATAATAATAATAATAATGTTTTGTTTATAATGCATATTTTCATTTTCTAGATTATTACTGATGTTAATGGTGATGTTGTTGACAGTAATGGTAAATCATTACTAATAGCATCCTATTTTATATGCTCTGCTATTCATGGTATATGTAGTGGAACTGCAATGACTCAAATGGTTGTAGTTTTATGCGATTGGGTTGGCTCTTCACAATTAGCACAATCTTTAGCAGTAACTATGGTTATTTTAGGGTTAGTTATATCACCGGGACAATTTTTGATGGGTAAGTGTTATATAATACTGTTTTTAAATCCTTATTTTTTTTAAAGAATTATGATGAATTTCCAGATTATAATGTAACAAAGTGTGACGTTTTTTTTCCTAGAACACATTACGGAATCTATTCATTGAAAAGCTTAAACTTGACTGTCATGTAAATCAATAACATCCTGTAGTGGTCTGGTTGGATTTCTTACAACTTATTGTCTACGTCTATTGAGTATACTGACTTCTATATCTTATCCAGTAGAGTTGTGTTTTGATTGAAATATATAAATTCTGTGGATCATAGGAGTTCAAAAATCTACAAGCCAAACATTGGTGATAGTAATCTAACTCAACAATATAAATCCCATAATTCTTCATACTTAAATGGATGGAATAGTAACATTCAAATATGTGTCTGAATGTGAGATCTATAGATTCTTTACTTCATGATAAGTTATTCAATTCAGTAATATAATAAGAATTAGACTTTGCAATCTCTCCCATCTACCATCAGAATGTGTTCAATTAACATGGCAACTTTTTGTTCCTCTTGATAAGCATTCATTGAATGATACTGAGTCGATAACTTTATCATCTTAGTAATTAACTGACCAAACTGTCATTTTACTATGAAGCGAATTATTGTAATTGAATATTTGTGACATGAGTTGATCATGAAGTAAGTAAAGCAAATAAAAATGAGTAATGCTGTTGCATTCAAACGGTGTCTTTAATTAAACTACACATATTATTGTTGGTTATTATTGTCACATGTTCTCTCGATTACGTTTCCTATCTATGCATTAGTTATAAGTTATTATAAAACCGATCACGGGACTGAAATAAATATTAAAAAAATACGATATATTTCTGAGTTTCTTATTATAACAACAAAGAATGATTGATGATTATTGAATATATGGTATATAGCTTGGTGGTCTGACTGGCTCAGTGGCCTAATGGTTAACCGTTTGCTCGCGAGACCGATAGGTCCCCGGTTCGAATCTCGCGAAAGGCGGAATCGTGGATGCACATTGTTTTGCCCCCAAATGCCCTGGTATGGCCGAAAGAGAGGTGGACCCGCCCTCCCTCTCAAAATGCTATCACACGGCCACGCATGTACAGCCTCTGCCAGGGAAGTCCTACTCACTGCCTTCTCGTGGCAGGGGTGTTGTCTACGAAAATGAGAGGACGAAAAGCGAATGTCCGGCGCTTTAACCGGATCCAAACCAATGGTGCAAATGGCCCTCCCTTGTACCAATATTTATGTGTTCAAATAAATAATAAAGGAGGCACCAAATAGTTATGCGCCACATAAATCATTCGATTTGTATGAGGGATGGGATACTGCCCATGTGCGCAAACCGAAACAGGTGGTTTTCTTAGGCTACCACACCCGGAACCTTTGAACTAAAGGCCTGATCCACAAGGGAGTTGATCAACGTCAGAAGATGCAGTCTCATGTTAGCCGGTGACCAATAATTGGTTCATACGTCATTTGTTTCCTTAGGATCCTGGAGCCTATGTGCACCATTGGTTTGGATTAGGGGTTTTCCAACTCCCCTAAGTGAACTCTCCATGTCCACCAACCCGGATAAAGCCACAGACATTTACTTTTCGTCCTCACATTTTCTTAATCAACACCCCTGCCACGAGAAGGCAGTGATTAGGACTTCCCTGTTAAAGGTTCTATGCACATGGCCATGTGAGAGCATTTGGAGAGGGAGAGCTGACTCTTTTCACCCTTGGCCGTACCAGGGTATTTTGTGGCTGGAATACAATAATGCCCATATATTGGTTAAACATTATAATTCCCATCACGTTGAACAAACTCAAAATGTATACACTGAACACCCCTAGTTATTTGTTTATTTTGGCATGTTGGTTGTTGTATCCAGATAGATTGATAATTTTTCGATTTTTTTAGAAAATTATTTTAATGAATCTTTTCTTATAGGTTTTGTTGCTGATTACACGGGTACATTTGTTTGGTCATTAAGAATCTGTGGTGTTATTCTTCTATGCGGTGGTTTCACTCTTTTCTTAGAATTCCCCGTTCGTCGATTGTATCCATCTGTAAATAATCATCATGATAATAACAAAAGTAAACCGATTGAACAATGTGTTCCAGTGAAAGATATCGAAGCACAAGATATCATGTGTGATAATGTTGTGAATGGTCTAACTAATGGTGGTAAATGTCATTCATTTATTAATTCAACAATTCCTATAGATAATAATTTATCTCCACTGATTAATACAAATGGACAAATTACAAATTAAACAGTATACAAATTGTGTATCACTGTTGTTTTGTTTTGTTTTGTTTTGTTTAGAATACAACACGAATCATACTCATTTATTTGTCACTATGCCTCTATAATATGAATGAATTAACAAACTATTACTATACATGAAGGATTTTGTCTTCTTTTTCTTTCTTTATATATATTTCAATTCATTTTCTTATTCCTGAATGATACATGTAATTGATTTCTTCTTGATCAGTTTAAAGTTCAACTCTCCCTTCCTGTTTTTTTTTGGAGAGGGGGGGGAGGAATGGTTCTACCAAACAATCCAATTATCGATTCTGTTCCCGTTATATATATATGACTTATTTGTGCCTATCCAATAGTGCTTGTTTATTTTTAATAATAATCACTAACCAACCCGAGTTATTTTTTCCACTTCTCTTTTTTTTGTTTTACTTCAAAAACAAACCCTCCCCCCATTACATAATTTTTTTTGTAGGATTATTGTTTAAATTTGTCTATGCTGATTTCATTCAGATAGATAGTTAATGTTATAAATATATACCATACTATTCTATGTATCTGAAATGACCTCTATTATTATTTTGTTTACAATAATCTTAGGTATATTATAATCTTATCATTATTATTATTATTATTATTATTATTATTATTATTATTATTATTATTATTATTATTATTATTTTAACATTACGAATCACGCATAACTATTTCCATTAGTCGGTATGGGTTTTTATGTACAAATAGAATATACCTTCAACTTTATCCTTTAACTCTCACACGGACAGACATGCACACATTCACACGTACTACACACAAAAATGCACGTCAACACACATAATCAGTTGTGTGATTTAGATTAATTCGACTTGATTTTATGTAGACATCATCATCATCATCATCAATAGATTAGTAATAATGAAGTGAAGTCATTTTGTATTATTATCACTATCATTTGATGATGATGTTGTTCTCTCCTTTTTTGCCGGTACGTCCATTTCACGATTGTAAATTTGTATTCATCATTCTGTTTTTATTATTAGTGACAGTATGATTTGTAATATTATTGATGATAATAATAATACATGTTAAATAAAAGTATGATTTCATTATCGAAAAGACAACTTCATTGGTATGATTCGATTTTTAGATTAAGTAACTTGTTGAAATTACCTTGTGAATTGGTGCGTATTTAAGAGTCAGATTCTACAGTTCAGTTTAGTAACTATGGGAAGCTTTTTCAACTCTTCCGAATTACTAGCAACGAAAAGTCTGATATAGGTGAAATGATCTGTAGCTAATAACACTCGAATTAGTGATATAATATTGAAAGGAGTCTCGGTCGATGGGTCGTGATTTTCGAGCAATCAGTCAGCTACAACGTAGGACAAGGCACATATGTGCACCAGTCGAAGTTGCCATACCGCATTAGCACAACAAGATTGACACCGGATTCATAAAAGTAGTTAATTCAGAGGTGGTAATATATAAAAGAAAGATTGCAATAAGGATATAGTACAGGAAGAAAGAATTAGTTGGTAGAAAGAAAGATATAAAGCCAGTTTAATCTCATAGTTTAATGGAAGACAGAGAGTGTATACACCGACGCCATTGTGATCGATTCTCAACCATGTCAACAAGAGTCTCCAACTATTGGTTAGGATGGTCACACGGACACCAACCAAGTAGTCTGCATCTACCAACATGGCTCAGAATAGAAGTTAGTGACTTCAAGTACTGATGCCACGTTTTGGTTTGACCGCCTCTAACTTTCTTCCAACCATCCCCAACACCACTTAGCATTGCACTTCGTGGTAATCGGTGTTCAGGCATACGTAACACGTGGCCCAGCCATCTCAGTCGATAAACATTCACAACCTCATCAACTGGTTTACCATCGTTCCCTAATACCCTGCGTCTAACCTCACTATTACTTACCCGGTGATCGTAGAAGATGTGAGCAATATTTCTAAGGCATCTGTGATTAAATACTAGTAGCTTATGAGTATCTTCTACTCTTAATGGCCATGTTTCGTAGCCGTAAAATAGAGCAGAACGAACTGCCTGCTGCGCAGTATACTCGTTCATTAATTGATAGACGGATATATCTCACCTTCGCCATAGGTGATGTAAGTTGGCAAAAGCCAAACGAGCTTTTCAAATCCGAGCTGAGACTTCGTCATACGCAAACCCATTATGGTTGCTCAGGCTTCCAAGCTAAGTTAAGTTTTCAACACGTTCGACTACCTCACTTGCTGTCCTTAGTTCAGGTGTTGATGTAGACCAGTCCTGAAGCAACAACTTGCATTTAGAGGGAGAGAAGCGCATCCCAAACATTCTGGAGTTGTTGCTCAGTGCTTCCAAAAGACTCCGCATTTTATCAGCGCCTTCACTAAACAGGACTATATCATCTGCATATTCTAAGTCGTTAAGTTGACCTCCTACAATGAAATCAATTCTTGAAAATTCAGTAGACGAGAATGTTATTTCCATCAGTAGGTCTATGATGAAGTTAAACAAAAATGGAGAAAGTGGACAGCCTCGATGGACACCACATGAGGTTGCAAAAGCAGATGAGAGTTCGCCATAAGCTCTGAATTGACTGGTAATCTTCGAGTAAAGAGCCATCACAATGTGATGTATTACCCCATCGATATAAATATAACTGTCCTGTGTCCCTTGGGTGCGAAAAACTCCGATTTCTAAAGTACTACCGATTACCAGGCTCAACGACCTATCCTCTTTGTTTTTTCGGTTTGATAGCCAGCTTCTGTTTTGCGAACTGGGGGAAAACGTCCCAATTTCTTGGAATGAATCAATTGCCGTCTATGTATCAACTGTAGGGATAAGTCTACTTTTCATCACGTCCAAACCATTGGCTTTCATCTTTACACATAGTACACAACCCATGAAAGATTGACTTGGAAGAAGTAGTCTGGTTTTTGTTCAGATCACTAATGTTTTGATCATATCTTCATCATCCACCAAATGTTAGAACACTTACACACTGATTAGAGACGATCAGTCATATTTTTGATACTAGGACTATTTTCAATCCCTTAAACAGTATTCGCACCGACTATTACTACAGGGTATATTTGAGAAATTTAGTAATATCTTGAAAACTGTACAAAAGCCGGAGAGAGAGAGAGGATACAACCATCCCTTCTCATCCTATTACTGTATTATAATTACCTATTATTAAAAGAGCTATTAGAACAATGAACATAACTGAACATTATTGTTTTCAATTCATGATTTCATTGGATAATCAATATGGTTTTTACTCTCCAGTTTATTGTAAGTCTCATTTAACCTTGACATTATTATCTGGAGTCGAATGCCGATAGTCAATTTGACCTTTTTATTCATTCGATATATAATCAGACATCAAAATATAGAATTTTTTTAACCTACAATATTCATTTCATAGTTTACTTATGGTACAAAATTTCATTCTGAATTTGATATTTTAGAAAAAAATATTGAAGTATTAAAACGGAAATTATTTAATTTAATAGTTGAAATCATGAATCAATTGAAGTTAGACCAACATGGAAAACGTGGAAGCACTAAATGGCTGTTTCGTCCTAGTATGGGACTCCTCGACGGTGTTCATCCACGATCCCGCCTCGCCAGATTCGAACCCAGTACCTATCAGTGTAGCATACGAACGGTTGACCTCTAGACCATTGAACCGTCATCCCAACAGTGTAACTTCAACCAATCAACGAAATTATTTAATTTGTACATTCTTAATTTTGATAGCAGACTATAATACTTAAGATAAACTCTGAAATACATTGAGTACTGGACAGTTAGAAATCCGCAAAAGTAAATCGTTTCATTGAAAATCACTGAACATAAACTGAGTTTTCTACGTCCATATTTAGATTAGATTTAACTTGATACAATTAATTTTTGCTACATAATTCAGATTATTTGAACACATGAAAGAGTATTATTCAAAGTATATGTGAATGGTAATGTTTCTGTTTGTTTTTGATGAATGTCAACATCATAACTCATGATTAATTAACATTTCCGGTTAATGAATAATAGTTATTCATTGAAATTCATAATCTACTAGAAGGACTGCAATACAATGAGACCTGTGACGCTTCTGTTACCCAAAAAGCGAGCTGACATTGTGTTATCAGTTAAAGGCGACTCATATAGTCTTATGTTGAAATGGAGATTTAAATTAGACATCAAGAGGGTAATTTATGCAACCCTATTTGTCATTATTGAAAAGACAAGGTCTATGTTTAACCGAAAACCTAAACAACACGTAAGGGATTGTGTCTATCAATTTACATGTATGTGCGGAAAAACGTGTATAAGGAGGAGCAATCGTGATTTGCAAGAAAGGGTGACGGAGCACATACCTAAATGGCTGCAGAAATAAATGAATTCCAATGGTCAAATAAAATCACAGGATAGACAGACATTTTCCTCTATAGCGAAACATTTGATTCAGACTGGTTATAAGGTTGATATCAAGTCAACATTTGTAGTGTTATACAAAAACCTTCAAGGACGTATACAAAGGTTTATTAAAGCCTTGGATATACGGAAACTGAAACCTCCTTTGTGTGTTCAAAAACAATTTGTTCTTACCTTTAACCTACCTTGTTCATACTGATTTATTATCCAGAGTGGTTAACGCTCTGTGTTACGGCTTACCTTTAGCCTGTCTAATTGACCTTTTATTTTTCATATAAAAATGCTTTGACAATTATATGTGTAACGCTTTTTTTTCGTTGTTCATTTAATTAAAATAACAATTCAATGAGCTCATCTTCGTGTACTTGTCCTTGTTTATTATTATAGGTCGGAATATAGATTAAGAAAAGAAAATAAGTTAACACTTTCCATGGATTTTTTCAGTTTCCGTTTGGAGAGGACATGAGGCGTGATGGCCTGTGTTAGTCTTGGCAATGCTGGTCTCTCAGTTGACCCAACTTTCTTTTGAAAGAGTCGACGAATGGAGCCTCAACCACATGCAGAGGTAATGAATTCCACTCTTTGATGATTCGATGGGAAAGTCGATAGTCAACTGATAAGTAATTTGTTTTGGACTTATGAGCTTTTTTGAAGTATCCTAGTAAATTCTATGTTTTGGAAGATAAGAAAAATGAGGACATATTATGTGCAAATTTATCACTGTAATCAAGTCGTCTCTAGTTCTTCGATATGACAACGGGAATAAGTTTAGCTTGGCCAGTCGATAGCGTCATAAGAAGGCGACATAGTTCTGATAATGTTTGTCTTCTTGTTACACTATTGAAATATATCAAAGGGACTAATTGAATTAAATTTCTTAAAAAAAGACTCCTTGCATATAGGTTCTTTTTATTTATTTGAAAAGTTCATCAAGTTGAGCAACAATGTGTTGATCTTTTCTCTATAACTAACGTATAAATGTTCTATATCTGGCCTTAAACTATGAGATTAAAATTGCTTCGTACCCTGGTGGATTCGATCCTGTGTCACCCAGCTTCACAGTCAGAGACGTTACTGTTGAGCTATCAGGGCCGCAGTCGACCTCATGTAGGACTGAGATGTAATCACAATTGATTGATCACTGGGTGGTGATCAATGTCATGTGTGTCAAGTCCTTATTTAGTGCAATCTGCCCAGGTTCATTAATAGGGACTTGGAATCAAAACACTAAAGTTTGTTTGTAAATGCAGCACATACAGGATTTCGTTCTCTAGTGTTTCTAACACCAACAGACTACTAACTTACTATGAATACAATTGCACAGCTTGATGAAGTAATATCATAGGAAAGAAAAAAAAACTTTCCCGCTTAATTGTTTTTGTTTCTTTTTAATCATAAATTGTTTACCAAGGTGTATGTGAGTAAACAAACATCTAAGTAGTATATTGTTTAACATATGCTTGTTTTTTTAAAAAGTAATTTTTATAGAGCTGTATCCAATTTCTTATTGCTCTCATCCTTACATTGCTATGTATTCATTAATTTCTATCAGAAGGGGTTTTGTGGATATTATAACAATTTCAATAATTTAGATCATGAGTCAATTGAAGCCAGGCCATCATGGAAAACCTGGAAGCATTGCAGCACCGTTTCGTCCTACTTTGGAACTCCTCAGCAGTGCGCCAACAC